CCTAGTAGGAGCGAGGGGAACCTTGGACAAAGAAGGAGGATGCATGTAGTTGCTTACTCATTTGCCCCTTTAAGGATTTCTCACACCCAAATGGAAAATGAGAGGGTTAAGCCACTTGGGAGACAAGTTCACCATGACTAGCAACCTCTTGGTAGGCAAAACCATTGGTCCCTTATTGTTTTTTTTGTAGCTCATTTTCTTCACTTAATTAGTAGGGGAATTGGTACTACATGTCAATTATGGGAGAAGGGTGCCTAACACCTTCCCTTTCCCCCCCTTAGAGTACCTAAAAGAGTCTTAGATTGGGGACATGTGAGTATTGTTTGGTTTGTTAAACTTGGGAGGTCCATCACTCCCATGTTCCTTGCTTTGATGGGTGGAGACTCCATATTATTTCAGCCATGGAGTGAACCCCAAACCAATTGGGATGTTTACATTGGGCATTGGCCATCTGACATTCTGACCAGGTAAACCTTCCACTATTTAGTGGAGGATCAATGAGCTCTTGACTCCTAATGAACTCATCAAATCTCCTCATGCCCAAACTCACTCTTTCTTCTTTTCTCCCTTTCATTTCACACTTCCTCCTGACAATATTGAAGTCTCCTCCCAAGTACCATGGATTCCCCACCTCTGTCTAACTCCTCCCAGCTCCACCCACAAACCCATTCTCTCCCCTTCTTCATTAGGACCATACACATTTGACACCACCCATTGTGATTTAAAAATAGTTGTGGGTTGGCTGAAAAGGGGGGAAGGAGTAATATGGCAGCTATGGAATGAGTTTAGGCGCTTCAAAGAACTATCTAAAGACATGCTAATCCAAATGAATTGGATTAGGAGATCTGCAAACACTGTGGTCAATGGTTTAACTAAACATAGAATTCAGAGATAATCCTTGTTTAGGGCTGTTTTGTAAATATTGGGATAATTTTCTTCTTGGGCTTGTTGTTTCTGCCCACAACTTCTTGTTGTATATCTTCATTTTAAATTAATGAGTCTATTTTTGTGTTGTTGATAAAAAAATGTTGCTCCCTGCTATCTCATTTAGGAGGGCTCTTTTACAAGAGGGTTTTTTTTGGGCGCAATGTGACACGATATGATACACGTACGCTATGCATATTATACAGGTATCCAAGTATCATAGAGATGCAAAGCTTGTGATTTACTCCAAAGAAAATGGCCTAATTGGTGCTTGTCCCCTAATTGATGTATTCTTTGCAAGGCTAATGGTGAGAGTTGTTATTACTCATTAATCTATTATCCCTTTGTTTCAGTCATTTGAGATTGGTTTCTCTCTTTGTTTAGTTGCAGGTAGACCCCCACCAAATGTACAAAGCTCTTTTGCTTAAGTTGACAAGAGTAACCAAGGGTTTTTGACAAGAGCAACCATCAACTATCCCCATTGTTGTTTACTTAAGTTGCAAAAATCTTTACTAGGTTGTTGATGAGAGCGGATCAGAGAAATATTTTTGTATACTTATAAACAAGAACTATTTTTTTTGAGGTTTTTGAGTAGGAAGGCAAACTTGAGTAGTATCTCATTTGTAGTTTGTGGATGATACTTTGATTCTAGGAGAATTTAGGGGTACTCAGGATGTGGAAGTTCTTAGATAGATTTTGGATGTGGTGAAGGTGTTAGGTTTGAAGACTAATTTGGCAAAATGCACTTTGATGGGATTGAATCTAACTAGGTGGAGGAGATGAGTGCAGCAGTTCTAGTGGTGAATTTACAAGGATAGCCAATGAAGTATTTAGGGCCTTGTTTGGGGGGATAATCCTTGGGAAAAACCCTTTTGGGGAGGCGTCAAAGATTTTTGTTAAAAGATTAGCCTTGCGAAAAAAGAATTACATCTCCAAAGGATGGAGAGTTACATTGTTTAAATCCACATTGTCAAATATCGTAATTTACTTTTTGCCAGTGTTCAAAGCCATTGTAAACATGAAGAGATGTAGGATAATTAGAAAAGAATGGAGAAGATATTTAGAAACTTCCATTGGGGTCCAAGGAGTCACAAGAATAGTAATCTTTTGAAGTGGGAAAATGTTAATCAATCTTTAATAGTGAGTGGGCTAGGGATAAGATGAATATGTGAAAAAGAATTTGGTGTTATTGGGGAATTGAACTTCGTAGTAGATATTTTAGAGTGTCCTATTGCTAGTTGGCCTCTAACCTACCTAGGACTTCCTCTTGTTGCAAACTCTAAGGAGAGTAGATTCTGGAACCCCATAGTGGAGAGACGTTGCAAAGAAACTAGTAGCTTGGAAGAGGAATTGGATATCTTTGGGAGGAGGGATTACTTTGATCAAATCCACGCTTGGTAACCTACCAACTTATTTCCTCTCAGTTTTTAGAATCCCACAAAGAGAAGCAAAGAAAAGTGAGAATATTATGAGGGATTTTTTGTGGGAGCCAGGTGATGGAAGGAAGGATCATTTGGTTAAGTGGGAGATTGTGTGTGGGAATATTCAAGATGGAGGTTTATGTTTTGGTAGTGTGGATAAAAAGAATAAGGCTCTACTAGGGAAATGACTTTGGAGGTGGCCGATGGAAAGGGATAGATTGTGGCATGGCATAATAGTTAGCATACATGGAAGGTTGGGAAATGGTTGGGATGCCGGTGTATCTATTTTGAGCTACTTTGGCTTAGCCTTGCAGAGCCATTCATAGCATTCTGCCTTCCTTCGTTTCGTCAAGTATGATGTTTGTTCTGGGGTTTGTGTTAAATTCTAGGAGGATACTTGGGCTGGTTCTTGTCCATCAATGGAGCTCTTCCCCTCTTTATACTCGGTCTCTTTGTACAAAAGTGAGCGTGTGTCAAGATTTGTTGCTCCTCCAATGCATCCAAGGGGCCTTAATTGGGACTTTGGTTTCCGTAGAGGGCTTAGGGATAACGAACTTTCTGATTGTATGAATCTCCTACAACTCCTTCAAGATGTTTGCTTGGACCCCGATAAACCTGATAAACGTATTTGGGCCCCCAACCCTAGGGGCTTATTTTCTTGTACTTCTTTGTCCAAGACCTTATGTGACTCCTTAGCTTCCTCCTATCCCTTTAAAGTGTTTTGGTGTAGATTCATCCCACTCAGAGTCGGAGCCTTTTGTTGGGTAGTAATTCACAAGGAGATAAATACTATGGACTTGGTACAAAAGAGAAGACCTAATTCTTGTCTCTCCCTAATTGGTGCGTCTTATGCAAATCTAGTAATGAGAGTTGCCTTCATTACTGATTTCCTGCCCCTTTGTTGCAGATATTTGGCTTTGGGTTTGTCCTTTGTTTGGATGCAGGTGGACTTTACCAATGGAGTTGTTATTTGATCCCTCTTTATTTACTTGGCCGAAGAAGAGAGGAAGGATAATGTGATGTGTTAGAACAGCCTTGATTTGGACCATTTGGGAAGAGAGGAATGCAAGATTATTCTTAAGAGAAGGAGAGAAGCAATGAAGAAATCAGGACTTGTGTGATGGTTAGGGTGATCCATTGGACCAAGACTCTTGAGGTATTTTCCTAGTTCTCCTTTGATGATATCTGTAGGAATTGGGAAGCAGTTGGTAAAAGCTCTAAGAGAAAAGATAGAGTGGAGGTTGTTTTGGTACCACCATTAGAAGGTTTTGTTCAACTGAACTTTGATGGGAGCAGTCGAGGTAATCTAGGCCCTTCTGGAATAGGATTGGTTTTGAGAGATGGAGAAGGTAAACTTGTAGAACTTTTTTCTGGCCCTGCGGGTATGGGTGACTCCTTCAAAGCAGAACTGCTTGCTGCAATTCAAGGGGTGCAGATAGTTAGTGAGCTAAATTAGACAAATGTAGTGATTGAAGGGGATTCAAGAGTGGTGGTAGAATGGCTAAAGAATTCAGAGTTTATAATCTGGTGCTATCGGAACGAAATGAAAAAATTTAACTGGTTAACTAGGAATATGAGTTTGTGGATTCAATGTGTGAGGAGATCAACAAATGGAATGGCGGATGCTTTGACTAAGCAAGGGGTGAATAGGTCTATGTTATTTAGGGCATACTTGTAATGTTTTTCTTTTTGTATGAGAGGTAGCACCTCGTGCCTCTCTTCAGGATGTTTGTAATGATATAATGTTAAGTTTATTAATAAAATTCAAGTTACTTACAAAAAAAATGGTCGTGGAGGTTCTCAGAAGAGAGGGGCTTTATGGGCTGCACCCAAATGGTTGGAATTTGGAACCAGCTAGGGGTAAGAAGCCCTTGGAAAGCTATTTTGATTTGCGCATGTCTTACATGCTACATATTAGATATGATGTTGTTTCTGGACACAGGGTGGAGTTCTAGGAGGGCACTTGTTGGGGAAACTCTCCCTTTTGTAAAGCCTTTACTAGAATTTACAATATGTCTACTCTAAAAAGCAATTCAAGTACAATTATTAAAAAAGAACAATTCAACTGTCGAAATGATAACCTTGGATGAGAATGGAACTTGGGACTTGGAACTAAGAGAATGAGTGTAGTGAACTAATCCCCCTTTTAAACTCACTTTAAGATGTTACTTTGTCACCCTTGGGAGACAAGGGGTAATTTAACATGTGCATCCTTTTTTAAAATTCAATCCCCTAGAGAGAATCATCCTTTTCCCATTAGAGAGGTTTGGCATGGTCCAATTCCCCAAAAGTCAAGGTTTTTTGTTGGGAGGCTGGCAATCAAATCAACAACACTTGTGAAAGGCTTCAACTCCAAGAAGTGGAAAGCTGGCTCTATCACCTTATGTGTCTGTCCTTTGCTTGAAGAGTGGGGAAATTATCAATCACCTTTTATTGCATTTTTCCTATGCTTCTAGATTGCCACAACATTTTTTTTTCCGTTTTTTTGGAAGGGAGTGGGCAACGCAACGCCAAAAGAAGTGGTAGATCTATTCAAATTGGATCTTATTAATAATTGCACTAGACAGTGAAAGATGCTTTGGCATTGTGCTTGTGGAGTGAACGAAATGCAAGAACTTTTGAAGAATATCTCAAGATTGCGGAGGAAGTATTTGAGCATACCAAAATAACGGCCACAGATTGGATAGTGATTTGTGATGATTTCAAAGGGGTTTCCCTTAATGATTAATTTAGGGAACGGCAGCTACTTGTTAGTTTTTGTAATAGTAAAAAGAAATTTTGTTGAAGAAAAAAAGATAACACAAAATACACGGTGACCAGATATCACCCACAAGAGAAAAGGATACCACCTCAATTGAAGACAACCAAAGACAGGATACCGAACAAAACAACAAACCGGAAACTTCCTCAAACACTTCACACATCACTCCATCCCCTGATCCCCAAGACAGAGAGAACACTGCACAAGTCATTACTAATCCTTCCCCTCAAGCAATTCTTCCTGCCCAGCGTTAGCTTCATTCTATACCTCTCCTCCTTTTCCCACTATAACTTTTCTCAAATTTTCTTCCCTCCTTCTCTTGAAGTAATGCAATTGAGTATAAAAAGAAATTGTGGGTTTTACATGCTTGAAAATGTTTTATATGCTTGATTTGATTTTTTAATTGTCATTTGAATTTACTTTACATGTTATGTTTATGTGTTTTAATTTTAGATAATATGTTTTTTTAAATATTCATTTTGCGCCTTTCGCTTTTAAAACACTGTTTGAACTTTGAAATCACCCAAATCCAACTCTCATCTTCTTCCCCTCTTGCAACTTACCAGAATTGTTTCTTTTAAGGTCCCCAAAAGCTTTAGCCTTTGACGCTTAAAGATATGCAACCCTTTTTTGTCAACTGACAAATTGGACAACCGCTGTGGTGCACCCTTCTTTGTAAACATAATTCTCTTAAAAAACTCCCCATTCAATCCTCCAACTGACCCACAATGGCACACGGTTCCTTGCAATATAAGCATGCAAGCATCTCTTCATCCTTATTCGTCCCCACACTTTTACTCTTCTCGCCGTCCACGTGGCCTACCATTCCTCTTACCATACCTGCATTAAAATAGTCTACAAAAATCAAGCCTTCCTTAATAATTGAACTAGCGGCCCTCCACTACCATCAAGACCCACCACACTGCCCTTAGAAATTAATTTTTTTTGCCAGCATTCCTTAGATACACTTATTTTCTATCCCTCAATTCTCTTGCTAGTTTTCAAATAGCAGACAACATAGTACTGTATAGTGGTCCCCTTGTGCTGATGGAAATGTGAAAATAAACTTTGATGGTTGCTGTTTAATATGAACCAAGAAAAAAGAATTCAGAACTAGGGTTTTTTTGTTGTTTTGTTCATCTTCTTTATATCCAGAATCAAGAAAAAAGAGGGAAAGTTACCTTAAATTTGAGCACCGACACAACCATGGACAGAAAAATATGTAACAGCAAACGAGCTTGTCCAAAAACTACAACAAAAAGGTCATTCGCTCATTGCACTCCCATGATACTCTACCAGTTTATATGCTCTTTTTGTCTTGGTTTTGGGATTTTCTTTTGCCTTTCTGAAACCCTCAAGACTACCCCTATCTTTAATTTGTTAGATATCAGTTGAAAGTTTGTGAAACCACTAAAAATACCGGCTATAAAATGGTCCATCGGTGTCCATTTTAAAGGCTTTATTCCGAATGCCAGATGGAAGCAATTGATTTGATAACAGTGGTTGTTGTTCATAAACCTTCCTCTGTTTTTAAGTTAGTTCCCTGTAGCATTTACTTTTCTTCTGTCTACATTGTTTTGGGTGTATTGCAACATTGTGTTTCCTGTTTTGTCAATAGTAACTATCCTCTCGGGATCCAATAAAGAGACCAACTGCTGATCAAGGACTACAACACCCTTTCTTCCATGTATATGAATCCTCTAGTTTTTTTTTTCATTTTCTTTGATGTGGATCAGTGCCCAATTTGTGTCCATTAAACAGGTGGGAATGTGGGTTCCTTATCCACTGCAAATTCTTTCCTGTCAAAGGCAAATGACATGGGGTAGTTTCTTTTGGGCCACTGTGATATTGGCTCAGTCCTTGGTTGGCCCTTTGAATACCTCATTCAAGTGGGTGTCTAGGAGTGCTAGCACAGTGGCTGATTTATTAGCTAGAGCAGCATTGGGAGAGATGTATTAGATTGGGTCTGCCCAGGACGGGCTTGTAATCTGTAAATTTGCATTTCTGTCTCTTTTTTTTTCTCTGATTGTTAAGCCTCTTTACCTGTTACTTATAAAAAACAATATTCTGCATACTTTATTTATCAAAAACAAAATTATCACCCTTGATGTGAATCTATATTCCTGTTATCTTGATAAATGAAGAAAATAGGAAGAGAAAATGTTGTGTCAAGAAAATGAAAATAGTGATTATTTTCTTGGCTACTTTTCATTATTATTGTGTATCAGGTAACTTTTCATCTTGAACAATTAGAAAATTGTTTTTAATCTGATTTTGTGCTATATAAGCAATTGTTTTGGGTCATAGGATTCTGATGATGCTCCTATTCCATTTCAGCTTTCGGCAGCTTTTTGGCTATTGAACAATAGCTAATTTTATTTGATGTTAGTGCTTGAACTCCGTTAAGAGATCTTCTGTTTCTTATAACTACTTGAAGATATGAAGATTTATCTGAAATTATTTCTTTCCCAGGCTCTTAAGTACATCTATTTTGATCCTCATCTACTCTGTCTGGAGATATGCCAGCCATGTCTCAACCAGAAGATGCCACTGACTTAGAGAACTATGAATTTAAGTGGGGTAAAAAGAGAGGTCTTGGTGGGAAAAGGAAGGAAGTCCGATTTTACGAATCTTTTACTTTTGATGGTGTGGATTATTCTCTATATGACTGTGTATATCTCTACAAAGAAGGTGAGCCTGAGCCTTACATCGGTAAACTTATGAAAATATGGGAGCAGCCAGACCATAAAAAGAAAATAAAGGTCCTGTGGTTTTTTCGCCCGATTGAAATTCTAAATTATATTGGAGATAATATGACAGTCCATGACAAGGAAATATTTTTGGCATCTGGTGAAGGTGTAGGTCTTGCCAATGTTAATCCTCTGGTAAGTGGTCTTCTTTCATTATGAATCTGTTGTTTATTTTCACTTCCCCTTCATTAAAGTTGTGAGATTCCTTCAACTATTTAATTTCATCATGAATCTGGTAAGTGTTATTTGATCATGGTATTTTTGAGACATTTCTAGCTATTTTTCCTTATTTTTTTGGATAAAGAATTTAAATATTTCAGTATAAGGATAGTTGAAATGCTATCCATTGGGTGTCCAAGGATTGGGTGCCTCCCTGGAAATTTAGTTGATTAATTTAAGTACCAAAATAAGAGAGATCTGTTGCATAAAGGGGAATCCATTCTAAGCTACTATTTGTTCTTTAAGAGCCTGTGTTCAGGTTTTCCAACCATAAAATTTTTGTGGCTTTTTGTATTTTTTCCATTTTTATATATCTATTATTTAATTATAATGTTGCAAGTTGACCAGTTTGATCTGAATGGTTGAACCTCTGTCCTGCTGTCTGGACGGAAAAGCAGTTCTATGTCTGGATCAGTTTTAAAAACACTGTTATTTTTGCACATTTTAATAATATTTCTGCTTCTGTTGACATATTGTACATTCTTCTTCTCAGGTCATATTTGCTATGCTTTTCATGTACATTAGTACTGTAAATGGTTGGTGATCTTTCGGATAGCTGTTTCTTGACTTAGCCAGCATTTAATTTTCTTTATGTTAACTCAGGAAGTGATTGCTGGGAAATGTAATGTTGTCTGCACATCTGAGGACCCCAGAAATCCACAACCTTCCAATGAAGAACTGGAAATGGCTGACTACATCTTCCATCGTACATTTGATGTTGGAAACTATAAAATATCAGATAAGATGGATGATAAAGTTGGTGGAATTGAAGGTATATGTTCTTTCCATTTTGAACCTAATGTTAGTTTGCAATTGGATGTCAAGTTGTTGAATTCTTGAAATAGTAAATGCTTGTTGTGACTCATTCTGTTACAGTTAGGTTCATATTTAACAAAAAAGAGGTTCAAGGATCCAGCAATATTCCCAAACATGTTGCAGAACAGATAAAAGAAAATGGTAGAGTAGTAGTAGGTGATGAAGCATCAAAATCATTTTCCAAGCAAAACTCGGTTCCAATTGAAAATGTAAATGCAGTTGATACACCTACTTGTTCAGTAGCTAAAGGGGATGCACAATTGGAGCTTCCATGGGCTAACGAGGAACCTTTATCTGGAGAAAAAGCTGCTCCTGGTGTAGTTACAGAGGCAAAAGAATCTGCACCTTCTGGTGTCAGACAGGAAAAGGTCCTTAAGAGATTTAAAGCTAACTATGAAAAGGATGGTAAAGGCAGTGACATACCTAGTCAAGTTGAAGATAAAGAGAGACCAATATCTGCAAAGGGTGTGGGGGAACTTGATAGGCCTTCCAAGAAGGCAAAACTTGACACTGATACTAAATTGGAAGAACAGCAGGCCTATCTCTCATCTTTGTTGGCAACTGGCAAGGAAAGGAGTGGGAATATCTCACAGAAATTAGCAGTTGATTCTGAAGATGATGGTGTGAAGGTTTCACTGAAAGCTGACAGTGCTTCTGAGGATAAAAGCAAATCTAAACTTGTCAAGGAGTCTGTTGTTCAAGACAAGGGCCATTCCAAGAAGGTTAAACCAGATGGGAAGACAACCAAAATCTCTAATGGGGTTCTTCCTAAAGCAGCTTCTGCACATCCTCCGGAGAAAGACATTAAAACTGATGCCCGATTGTTGGAGGTGACGAGAAGGCCTAATGCTGTAAGTTTATCCTCCAATGTCAGAAATCCTAGGTTGCTTAACATTATCTGACAATGATGCTCTATTCTCTGAATTGGCTGTTTTGTGCATGTTGACATGTCAATTAATTTTTTTTT